TATTCCATGAAGCTATGATCATAAGGTTCCTTGTGGCCTTACGCGAGAAGTCAATTACTTGAGCTTATTCTTTAATCAAATATATTGTCTCTTTCAGCGCCTCCTGCGTAAGCCCGCTGGGTTGATTTAAGCGAACGCAATTGATTGGGGCGTTTAATCTGAGCGGGTCGTTACACAGCACCATGTGCAACAGCATTGCCGCGTAGAGAGCTTTAACTCAAAGAATCCGGTTTAACGACGCACAGAGATTGGGTTCGTACCGTAACTAGTTGTCTGGTTTGCTCTGCTATTTCGAAATATTGTATTTATAGATACGTTTGATATATCTTGACATTCGGCTAGCAGCCAACTACCACGAACCTTTCATTTCTAAAATGCCATCATCATAACACTTTTGGATACTTCATTGGTATGACACACACCCCTGTTACCAGGGTACGTGTAACCCCTTTACAGGCATCCTTGTGCGCAATGCCGCATGATCTTTGTATATCACGACTAGCTTAAATCCAAGCAGGATTTCATTAAACGTAGCAAAAGAGCATACTTCATAGCAAGTAGCTCCTTGTCATTCATGAAGAATTTCTTGTGTGCCGCTTTAACTCAAAAACAATGATGCGTGTTTTTCGTTGACATCTGCTCGGGTACTGCACAGACTATGGTAAAAATCAAGTGTCATTGCGACATAAAATGGCTACTACTCATTCAATAAGGCCCATTTCGATTGAATCATTAGACTTTTCACATCCGCCTCAAATCCCGTAGAATTCTCAGTCGCTTAGGGGTCTCAACCAATCACTTTAATTACGTGAGCACCCAGAAAATTACACATGTCAGCTTTGGTCGAATGTCGAGAATTTGGTTGAGTGACGGCATGACACCACTAAAAAAAGCCTCACCAGAGAAAGCCGCGGTGAGATCTCAATATTTGAATTTCAGTCTAAAAAGATCAGTGACGGGCCATGCTATGTCTTCAATATACTTGTGCAAGTGATTCACCAGACTATCTGGGATAGTGGTACAGGCCATTCTATGACAGCATTACCTTCATAGGATCTCGTACTTCCCCATGAAGCATCCCGCGATTATAATCCCGTCGGACACTTGTCAAGTCTATGTTGGAGGACAACCTTTTAAAAATTGAAGACTCAAATTTTGCTCGCATGCTTTCAATCTGTATGCTCACATCCGATCCCGCAGGTTCTGCACAACTATGAACGTTATAGTGTTCGTGCCTGAGGTACGATGTGTTTGATACCAGACAATTGAATGCCGCTGTTTTAACAGCAGCATAACCTGCCATTTCGAGAGTATCACGCTCGAGGTATTCACAGTATGATAGAGATGCAACTATCCATCACGTGGTGTCGATAATATATATAAGCCAGACCTAAAAACTAAAGATGGTGCAGCAAAGCATGCTTTTTCAGCATGATCTTTTGTACCGGAATTGTGGCTTTATTTGACTTATTAAAAGCAAGTATAGCAACTAGCCAGATTCATTACGTATCATGGAACGGGGAGTCGGAGATACGATGGCTTCAGCCATTCCTCATAACTTTGCAAATAGAACTCACTCTATGTGACAAAACACTTCGACAACAGCACAATTCAAGTAACTTTACAACACTCAATTACATCAAGAAGAAACACAGCAAGGTCTTTGAGGCCCCACACCCGTGCATGATCCTTCGTTCGGCTGTGACAGTTGGTGAGGCTTGTAAGTTTTTCGACTTTTTGTTTTAATCAAAATAATGAACACTAATCAGGACACGTCACTTGCCATTAACCTTCTAACTTTGAAGTCTGCGCCGCAAAATTCGTTCGCACATCACAGGAAGTATGGGTCTATGATGTCGTACTATCTCACTGGCTAGGGCAATTAAGGAGCAGAAACATATCTCAATCTCATGGATCAACCTCTGGGTTGGGTATTGGGTATCTTGTTATCGTCATGCCCCTTCAACAAGGATATAAGGTTCGAAGAGTACTCTAAAAGTAGCCGCAAGTCGAACGAAGCTCCAAGAGTGTCCTTGATGACGAGCCCATTCTCAATGACGAGATCATCCATGATAGATGCTCAGTCTAATTTCTTTCTATTCATCAGCGTTTTATCATTAGACTTTATCGTTTTGTAACCGTTTGCAAACACCTCTTCAAGCTGACTTTCAAGCCCAATAAGCGCTCAAGCTGAAAGTAGAGACGACCCCTAAGACTATCCTGTCTAAACACAGTCACTTCAATCATACGTGATTAAAAAATACCGCAAATTCGTGAAACGTCCCTGATTCGTGGGTGCATTACGCGTGTTACTTATATTAACCAACAACGCTGGACGATCAAAATCTCTCAAAGAATTAGATATTTTTTAGCTGAGTTCCATTGACTTGGAGCTCCATGAGCTACAAAAGAGCTCATAATTGTTTCAGCTGACCGTACCACATCTACTCGGGCAAGCCGTTGCACGTAAGGGTTTGTCGAAGGCCCTCAGTGCGATCTTGGTGCTTCTTAATCTCGGCTGAGAGGAAATGGGGCAAATAGCGCGCAGAGGTTTGATACTGCCACATATACAACATGTACGAGTACCACAGAATCTTTCGTCATATTGATTTCCTATCTTAACATGGCTGCGATTTATTGTCCCGGGATCACTTGTAGAGTTTTTCACCCAAGTTTCACAACACCCGCAACATGCTAGCAAAAATTTGGTGGACACGAAAGATCTCGTAGCGAAATGCGCCTTTTCGAAGGCATTTCAAAAAGTGGGTAATTGCTACCGTCTCTGGGGTAGATTCGGCCACCATCTCGGCGATGAGTGTTCGCGACCCTTGATTCTAGCCACGGTCCGCCGATTCTGGCCACCCTTCGCGGGTGACAAGGTTACTGAATGGATTGGTTTAGTGAATGCACGCGACGTATGTCCTTTAAACGTTCTCGGTCCAAAGTGCCTCTTCTACACTGATACTGCGCGTTAAAATCCGATCTCCTTGATCATTTCAAGCTTTTGTTAAGATGAATATTTTACGTCTGTCACGTAGCGCAGGCGAGGAAACGTTGGCGGAGGAAGGCGAAGTCGTTGGCGCA